TATATATTATCAAAAAATATAATAATGTACATATTATTTTCTTCCTAAATCCTAACCCTAATTATTCTCCTTCGGTAGTCTCCCTCCCTCAAGACACATCAACACTATATCGGCACATCAGCACTATATCTTCCAAGTCATCGAGACTTTCTAAAGTAGAAAATATGCATCAAATTGATGTTTCTCAAAACACCCCCTAAAATACCGAATAAAGAAGATAAATACATACTTCGATGTGTGTGTTTATATATATAATATGGGAAAATATATGATGCCAAAAAAAAACATGATATCAGAAAAGTTTTGACTAATCACAACTCGAATTTTGATGAAAACTTACATGATTGGTTACTACTTTTATCATGCTAGTTGAGTTGATTATAAGTCATGTTTTTGGGGCATCCTACCAATTTTTCTAACTCACATCATTGCTATCTAAAACACCAAAGCATCAAGACTTCAATTACTTTCTAAAACAGAAAGCATGCATCAAATTAAATATAATTAATGTTTCTTGAAACACCCCCTAATTAAAGAATGTATTTGATTTCGTGGGCATTTATGGATAGACCGTTTATTTATACTTTTTCATTTTAAATGTTTTTCGTTTTTATTGTTTGGTTGGACTTTATTTTAAATGTTTTTTATTCTTCACCTCAAATTAATATCCATTAAAGTGTGCCACATTAATATTTAATTTTAAGAAACAATTGGCATTGGGAGAAACAAGAATTTGACGTTTCCCCAAATACCCCATGCACAAAAATCAAAGCATTCTGATTTTTTATCATTTATTTAATAAACAATAAAAACAAACAAATATTTTATTTTAATTCATATACAATAAACATCAATGTCTATGTGATGCTGATGAGATAACGTTTTTTTAATAAAYACACAAAACCAAACACAATCAAAATAAGCCATCCATCCACTCCAATGCCTAAATTAGTGAAGTTCAGGCTGTGTCCATATAATTCATGATTCAAAGGAGCCTTGAAATTGAACTATTGAAGTTCGTTCATTCATCCATTCCCTTTCATTCATATCCATCATCCCTTGMTTTCAGTTTCAGAGCCTGTTATCCAGCCCGGGGCCGGGCGATGTGAAGGTTCCTTAAAGCCAGACACAACCAGCAGTGGCACCCAACAATGTAGGCCAAATCACTAGCTTTCCGCTTAGCTCTGTCTTGTAGCTCTCAGTCACCCATGTGGTTTTTTATTGATCCATGTAGTCCATGTGATTTAACAAATAATACTCACTTTTAAGCATATATTTTATATCATAAATCACACATAATTACTTGTACATAACTTAATTGACCATTTCAGAATCTCCTTTTTTTTAATGTATACATACGTTTGTGTGAGAGTATCTTAATAATTATTTTCCCTTTTCTGTAGAACGCGAAAACACAGGGTGGCGTCACCATTTAATAGTTTGCCAATAATATTCGCATCTCTGAGTTCTAGGTGCTATCCACAATTCCACATTCTTTACAATGTTGCAGGGATCCAGGACAAAAGGAAAAACCATTTAATTATTTGTGCAAGAGCTCTAGCTAGCTCGACTGTCTAAARTCTAATCCTGTTGAAGGCCTGAAGCTTCAGGGTTTGGTTTGAACTTTGATGTGAATAACACATGGGTTGGGGTACTTGGCTATGAGCCGGRTAATAGTAAGATGAAAATATCCTATTATGTTGGGCTAATCAGTGGATGTTCCTTAGCTGCTGGCTTAGATTTGTTAGGCTGAAATGTTTCTCTCCAATTTTTCTTTATATTAGAATATAATAAAAATATTAATTTTTGGGTCAAGTGTTCACCCAATGTGCCATCAGTAATTAAGGAACTTGCCTACTACTATTTTTTTAATAACAAAAGAAAAATCTTTATTGATAATTGGGAAAATAAATTAGGGTGAGAAAAGACTTTCGGGGCTTGTTTGTTTTTCAGTAAATTATTTATTCAGTAAATGTATATACCGGGGTAAGTGTTTTTTAGGAAAGATTTACCCAGGTAAGTTATTTACCCATGTTCTTTTATTTCCCATGTAAATAAGGCATTAGCCATAAAAATTCATTAATAAAAGGGGTATTTTTATCCCATTCAAGTGTTGGCAACTTTTTCCCTCGGGTGGAAAAGTTATTTACCCACCTAGGGGTGCTCAGGAAAATAAACTTTCCCTGGCCTTCACATAATCTGATAAAAGAACATGGGTTTCTTAGTCACCAATTTCCCTCCTCTCAAAATCTGAAAAAAAAACCCCCTCAAGAGTATCGAGATGATAATTTTGGTTTGATTTGTAGGTATCATTTCTTGTTTCTTTCTCCTACTATTTTTTTTAAAGGAAAAGAAGAATTTATTAATTAATAACTAAAAGAATGAGGGGGGCATGAGACCTAACCCTTTAAACAAATTATGAACCAAATTTCAATACAAAGGCTCAGTTTGTAAAGAGTACAAATACGAAACATGTGCAATGTAAAACTTTATATTTTTATATTATTTTGTATATATTTGTCTGAGCCAAAAGAAAATAAACTGAAAAAAAAAAACAAGAGTAATTTAAGAATAACAGTTTCCTTATCATTCAATCTTGATCTGAGTCATTTGTCTCCTTGGGTATAACAGTTTCAATCAAGTTCTCACCCACAAGATCAATTTTCTTTGTAAGAATGGCCATATAAACAATGATGATCACACATATATCATCATAAACACCCTCCTTAGCTCTATAACCAGAAAATCTATAAAAAAGAAGTTTATATCATATCATCATCATCATGGATTCCAATCTCCCGTTTCTCTTAATTGATGATTAATTCATTAAAAGATAAATTGATAAACAACTCATTTCAACCAATTCAGCCATTAGCAAGCATAAAGAATAGCATTTTCTCACAATCCTACGTTGAAAACAAAGGCTTCGCCATTAGAGGAAATTATTCAGATTAAATTATGAAGGTGACGTTCTAATATTGACTAAATTAGTTTTATACGATRGCACAGTTATCCACTGTTAGTTAACATGTAATAGAGGGAACTGACACTGGGCATGTGTTGCGCCAAAATCCCGTACCATGCATTCACATGGCTCGTCCACTTATTATAGGTGATATATTTAATATTAATTGTGCAACTGTTGGGAGCACCAAACACACCTCACAAACTCAGAAAAGCGAGCCAAGGATTGAATTCGAGCTTATGAGTTATGAGCTCCCTGTTTGTTGCTGAGAAAGTCAATTATTAGACATGCGAAAAGTAAGAGATAGCCCTTGGAAGCTTCCTGATCAGTCCCTGATAAAATGACTCAGCGCTTATGTGTATAATAAATCCAAATGTACAATTGGCATACTTCAATGAAGTCCTCTCAACCAAACTGGACAAATATAGTTAATTAATTGAAGCAAGCTTTGATTTACAAGGTATTTTACAGCGTGGAATTTTTTTTATTCACTTTTTTTTTTTAAATTATCACATCTATTTATATTATGTAAAGCGGATAATTACCTAGGTTTATAAAAGTCTAATTCAAATACCATATGTCATGTATGAAATGGGATCTCCTACTCAATTCTTCCCACATCACTATCCACAGGAAACTAAATGCGTGCATTGGAAAGTTTTCCCTTGACCGGATCCGCTCTTCACACCTGGCGCCTGACAGGTGCTTTACACGCAGATCCTATCATGCATTGGGAATATTTCCCCTATGCACCTGTGAGGCGTTCATTTGTGAGGAGCACATCCCGTCATGCCATTCATGGGAAGATGTTTCTAATACATAGTGGTAGTGTCTTGTAGGTAGGGATGTGAGAAGAAATTGTAGGTAGGAGATCTAGAGTGATCATATATATAATATCTCTCTTGAGTTGCATTTTTGTTTTAAAAAATAAAAAATAAGTTGATTTTGTTAAAAAAAACATAATAGTTCTGATCCGAAACCCGAACCTGAGCTAGTGTAAAGTTGGGCTCAAAACCAGGCCTACTCCCCACACCAGACTTTTAAACATAGGCTCTACAACCATTCAACATTTCACTGGGGGGTTCATGTATTTTATCAATGGTATGAAATGTTATCATTGGTTCTACAACCCGCGATACAGCTAAGGTGTTCAGTTAATTTAAATTAACCTAGGAATTTATTTTTTAAATGAAAATAAAAATAAAGATGAACACAATTCAAGATACCAATAAATTCCTTCCAAATATCCGGGTGTATCAATATTTAGCTGAACGTTTGAACGTTCTGGCTGTAAACCAATAATGAGATTATAGGCCAGTAATAAATCTATGGCCCAAATGTAAAAGATACGGGCCCTTAACATGGAAACTTATCATCAGTTTAAACCTTGGTCGTTCCCAGCCGTTTAATGGGTCAATGACTCAATGATGTCGCGACAAGCCCTACAAAGAAATTTCCAACGTTCAAAATTGGCAAATCCCCAAATTATCCATTACTCCATACTTCCATAGGATGAATGATAAACTTGGCTCATAATTGACGGGACGGGACGAGTTCGATAACTACACCTACTTGCTAATGTGCGCCAGGTGCTCTGTATACCCAAATTTTCACAGTCCCAATACGCGACAAAAAGAAAAGAGACAAAAGTCCAATATACTCCATCTGAAGCTCCAAAATCCTTGTAACTGACGCGTGTACATTTGAAAAAGGTGGCACCGACTGATTGACTGAGATATGGGGTGGGAGGGTGATGAATCAGCAATAAAACGGACGAGTGCAAACGGATAAATCTCTCCGAGAGAGAGGAGAGACAGACAGGTGTGAACTGAAGAGAGCAGACGAATCAGGTGAGGAAACGTGGCGGAGCATCAGAGAATGCGGAGCTCCGGTGGTCCCGGGACGAAGAATTTAGCGGTGAAGGGAAGGTGAAAACTTTAGCAAATGACGCGATGTAGCGTCGCCGCTGAAGGTTGTTAGGGGCCCACCTCGATTGCCGCAATTGCTATAAATAGACCTCCCTCGTCTGGGTGGGTTGCTATCTACGTGTTTTACGTTCGCCGCACCACCACCCCTTCTCCTTCCGTCCTTCGTTCCCTCGTCAGTCTCCTTTTGTTTTTTTTGCATTAAAAGCTTTCCTCCTCGCATCATTCCTCCTCTTTCCTTCCTCCTTTCTCTGCTTCTTTCTTTTCGGTGATATATTGTTGAGGGGGGGAGAGAGAAACCATTCTGTCATCATGTGTGGGATACTTGCAGTTCTGGGTTGCTCTGATGATTCCCAGGCGAAAAGGGTTCGAGTGCTCGAGCTCTCTCGCAGGCAATCTCTCTCATCCACTCATTCGTTATTCCTCTGTCTATAACATATATGTTGAAATGCTCTGTCAACTTTTTGAGATTTGTTCTCTGTTAAGGATTTTCTTCGTCTTCGTCCTTCTCCTTATTAATCTTTCTTGTTTTCGTTTTCCTCTTATGAGAAATTCTGGAAGATGGATGTCCGGTGTTGGCATACTTATTGCTAAATCACTCCCGGCGACCACCATTTTGATGGTTCAGATGCTAAAGGCCTGGCCCAAATGGTGTTCCTTTGGAGCGCCTAGCAAAATTCTTTAACTAACAATTGTGTTTTATAAGATTTTGATCTTCTGGGTTCCCCTACCTTCTTCCTCTTTTATTGGATAAACAGGGTATAATATAATTTTGCTGCAAATTTCTCCTCTTCAATGTGAGGGGTCTGCATAGACATCTTTAAGCAACAAGACAAGTAGAGGATGGAGCTACCTGACCCACTCTGTTGTTTTCTGCAATTGCAAGTGGACTTGATCAAACAATAATTATTTTGATCAACAAGTCTCTTTCTCTCGCCCAATTTTTCTCTTTTGGTTTCTTTGTTTCTTTCTATAATATTGATGCCAACTTTTGTTCCATTTAATAATCCATAAAGACCCGCTGTTACTATGCGTCTTAGTTAAGACTCAAAAGCGAAAGCGGGACCCATTAATCTATTTCAATGTTGGATTGGGTAATATAATGGAAAGTATTCAACTACTGTCCTTTTTTGCTAACCGTATTTAAATACTGTCAACATGTACGTATACTTGCTCTATCAAGAAGCAGAGTCAGATTTCTCAGAAGGAAGAAGAAGAAAAAGAAGATTCTGACATGGGTTTAGATTAATATGGCTTTTTGATTAATCACCAATCATGTCACTTTAGATCTTAAGAAACCCATGATTTGATCTGGGTTTCCATTCCATGTGACACTACTGCTACCATGTATTAGATTAAGATTGAGGATTCTGCTTGCTCTGTGACAGTAACCGTAGTTCTATTGGATTCTTTAAACTACTTCAAAACAGTCGTATTTATCATGTAGATGGCACATTAATAAGAAGTGTTGATATTGCAGATTGAAGCATCGGGGGCCTGATTGGAGTGGGCTGTACCAGCATGGAGACTGCTTTTTGGCTCATCAAAGGCTAGCTATTATTGATCCTTCTTCAGGGGACCAGCCTCTCTTTAACGAAGACAAGAAGATAGTTGTAACAGTAAGTCAAACAACACTACCAACAAAATATTGCGTTGTTTGCAACCTTGATACCCTCGAATAGGATTAAGTTGTTTTCCGTAAATGAAGTAGTTTTCTGTGCGTGGGAGCAGGTAAATGGAGAGATCTACAACCATGAACTTCTGAGGAATCGGTTGCCTAATCACAAGTTCCAAACGGGTAGCGATTGTGATGTTATAGCTCATCTGGTGAGTTTTCCTGGGAATTTTCCTTCTTTGGATCTTTTACATATTTATTTTAGCTGTTGAATTTTGATATATTGTTAAATCTGTAGGTTTTCTTATAGTTGACTGAACCAACTATCTTCTTTGATCTTTGTTTCTAGTATGAAGAGTATGGCGAGGATTTCGTGGAGATGTTGGATGGAATGTTCTCGTTGGTGTTATTGGACACCCGAGACAACAGCTTCATTGTCGCCAGAGATGCGATTGGGATCACATCCCTATATATTGGATGGGGACTTGATGGTAAAACTAATTAACCCCTATACTCAGTAGGAATGTTTCTAATTGCAAATTCACTCAATCATTTTCTCTCCTCTGTTTCACTTCAGGCTCAACTTGGATCTCCTCTGAGTTGAAAGGGCTTAATGATGATTGTGAACATTTTGAAGCCTTCCCTCCTGGTCAATTGTACTCGAGCAAGGCAGGTGGGATGCGCAGATGGTACAACCCTCCTTGGTTCTCTGAGGCTATCCCATCGACTCCCTATGATCCATTAGTCCTCAGACGTGCTTTTGAAAATGTGAGATCACTGAACAAGTCTCCTTGCTAAGTTATTTACACACACATGAAAGCAGAAAAGAGAAAGAGAAATAGATCAATAACCTTAAAGATTATATAAGAAAACTATTACAGAATTCTTCCACCAGATTGCATTAGCCATGCACTTATATGAAGCCCTATGTCAACCATCCAGTAATGATATTCCTTATGTAAACTTTGTAATTTCAGGCTGTAATCAAGAGGCTGATGACTGATGTACCCTTTGGAGTTCTACTATCAGGGGGTCTCGATTCATCATTAGTTGCATCGGTTACATCTCGGTATTTTGCAAGCACAAAAGCTGCCAAGCTATGGGGAACACAGCTCCACTCATTCTGTGTTGGACTGGAGGTTTGTCTTGAAGGTTTCCTCATGAAGACTTATGGTACCTGCTGTAGGGATGTTTCTGTTCTCAGTTTTCAAACTTCTTTCTGTTGTTGTTCAGGGCTCGCCTGATTTGAAAGCTGCAAAAGAGGTTGCTGATTATTTGGGTACAATTCATCATGAGTTTCACTTTACAGTTCAGGTATTCAAACTTTTTGATCTCAAAGATGAAGAATGATGGAGTTCACATTGTTTTTCTTGAAAAACAAAAAGTGTTTATGCTTTTTTTTCTTCTGAGTTCTGCAGGATGGAATTGATGCCATTGAAGATGTTATCTACCACATTGAAACATATGATGTGACCACAATCAGGGCAAGCACCCCTATGTTTCTTATGTCCCGCAAGATCAAATCTCTGGGAGTGAAGATGGTGATCTCTGGTGAAGGCTCTGATGAGATATTCGGTGGGTACCTGTATTTTCACAAGGCTCCCAACAAGGAAGAGTTCCACCGAGAGACTTGTAGGAAGGTAAAGACTTTTCTTCTTTTCTGGTTTGGCGTTTCTCTGTGTCACAGATAATGTTCTCTACAGGGTAGATGACAATGAATGATATTCTTTCCTAATTCACAGATAAAGGCCCTTCACCAGTATGATTGCTTGAGAGCCAACAAAGCAACTTCTGCCTGGGGCTTGGAAGCTCGTGTCCCTTTCCTAGATAAGGAATTTATCAATGTTGCAATGGATATTGAACCTGAGTGGAAGATGGTATGTTAGAGAAGATGCCACTATTAACTGAGATTTATGAATTAAGTATTCTCTGCATCTGAACCCTGATCTAAGTGTCTCTGTTTTGTTTAAAGATAAAACCGGATCAAGGACGAATTGAGAAGTGGGTTCTCAGGAAGGCTTTTGATGATGAGGAGAAACCTTATCTGCCAAAGGTCTGGTGTAACCATCAGATTTCTTGTATTTTCCTTAATCAGATGGATTACTGACATAGTGTTTTATTTTCTCTACAGCATATTCTTTATAGGCAGAAAGAGCAATTCAGTGATGGTGTTGGATACAGTTGGATTGATGGCCTCAAGGCACATGCTGCAGAAAATGTACTCTTTCTTTCTATGTGTTTAATGTATACTTAAACTATCATACTTATTGTTTACTACTATCTTTTCTTCACCTCTTAATTCTATTCATTTGATCACAGGTTACTGATAAAATGATGCTTAATGCGAGTCATATCTTCCCACACAATACTCCTACCACTAAAGAAGCTTACTACTACAGGATGATCTTTGAAAGGTTCTTTCCACAGGTGAAGTAATCTAACTGATTAATGAATGTTGTTAGAAGTAAAGGAAGTTGACTGCAATATTGCTTATATCCCTTTTTATTTGGCTATACAGAATTCAGCAAGATTGACCGTCCCCGGAGGTGCAAGTGTAGCTTGCAGCACTGCCAAGGCTGTTGAGTGGGACTCAGCTTGGTCGAACAATCTTGATCCTTCTGGAAGGGCTGCTTTGGGAGTCCATGTCCAAGCTTATGAACCAGAGTTGCCCGCCGCAGCGGCCGGTAAGGTCCCAACTAAGATCATCAACAAGATGCCAAGGATGGTAGAAATAAGTGCTGCAGAACTCACTATCCGAAGCTAATACCTACTTTGCTGGAGGAGCATACTACATAAGAATTTAAGCAAAGGAGTAGTAGTAAGAGTTTCAGTAGTTACTGTTTGTAAGTTTCCATGAACCAAGAGTTTGATATGTTTGGACGAAAAAAATCAATGTATAATTGATAATCATAGTTGTTGAAAGTTGTAATAGAAGTTACTTCTGTCTCCTTCTTATGGGTTACAAGTATGCGTAGAACAATTGATTCCATGTATCCGGCACTCCCGGCAAACACCAATGTATGCAGTCTGCATATTTCTTTGGATCTGTTTTTTCCTCATCTGTTAAAAGCTTTCCTTGGTATTCAGTGTAAACCGATGTATGCCCATCAACTCGGTGCTCTGAGATTTGTGTTATGTTGATGAAAGACACAGGGATCTTCATTCTCTCCACAATGCTTCTTACCACGCCCATCATTCGTCGATCAGAACCACTTCCCCAGTAGCCCTTCTGCAAGATTGGTCGTGTCTCATTGTAGCATCGAATTCCCTTCTTATTGTTCCAATCCGAGCTTCTGAAACAAGTGAAATTTGATAATAATCACCGTCAGTAATTCAAGTCCGCATAACGGATAACCAGCATAAGATGATAGTTTTGCAGTTTATCCTTCTAAACCATCAGTCAACTGCAGGTTAGATGAGCCATAGTAACAATTAACAAAATCAACAAACTAAGATGATATGGGTCTCTTGACTAAATGCTCTGTTCAGAGAAGAACTTGATTGAGAAAAGAAAAGAAATTGTACCTCATGTGTGTGGGGGACGCAGTGGTGAAGAAGACACGAGTCTTGTTGGGATCAATGTATGAATCGACCCAATTCGCCCATGTCTTCAAGGCAATCCTATACGCAATCGGTGCTTCCAATTCCTCGAACCCCTCTTCGCCATTTGCAAATGAACCCCATCTGTGTTCAATCACAGAGGGTTTCTTAGAAACTATCTTTTGGTCTAAATTAGCATCAATGAAATGCTTGAAGTTACCAAATAAGTTTGAATTCGATCGGCTTTTGGCCAGGTTCGTAGTCTGTTACTTACAGTGACTTGATCTTCAGACCACTCATCCACCAGACGTAGGTGTTGAACACAAGGATATCGGGTCCTACCCAGTTTTTTGCATGTTTGTCCACCGAGTCTACTTTCAATATTCTGTCATTTGGATCTGGTTTTATACGGAGATCAGAATTGGACTCAACAAGGAAGGGTGCCCAGTAAAACTCAATTGAAGCATTGTACTCCTGGAGATGGACGGAAGATTACACTATAGATGAGAGCCATTTCTGTTGGTCATTTCAATATTTCAGGAATCAAGTCATTTTCTTTTATTTTCCTTGACAACCCGAAAGTATTCAGATAGATTTGATTTGAGTCAGCTTGTAAGTTTCCAAGTGTTATTCAGTAGATTCATACAACTGGTCTCAGCACTCAGCCTAATCCAAGTGGTAGTCAGCATGATCCATGACAGTTTAGTAAAAACAATCATAACAATATAGGGTGTTGATCTATATTTGACCGGATTACAGATGAATGGAATTTGGATTACCTTTAATGGGATCGAATTCGAATTAGAATTTGGACATTGGGATACCGTTTGCAGCTCTATGAACACTTTCAAATAATCTTATAAACCTATTTTATTACAAAATAAGCTTAAAACAAGGGAACTGACCAAGTGACCAAGTCAATATTTCTAAGAATCCACAGGCACCAGGCTCCATCTCAAAAACCGCTTTGGTTTTTGTTTCCGGTCCGATCAACCCGACTATTCAGTTTGATCCAAATAACGTTGGTATATAATAATAATCTATTAAAATCTTTTTTTTTTTACTTTTTTTCCAAATCTATAATGACACGGTGGGCTCAAAATTCAGTGTTAATTTCAGGTACTAGGGATATGCTACCAACAAAACGCTCCCAACACTTCCCGTCCAAACAGGTCACTGCAGCCCCACATTGGAACTAACATCTTCCTTGCCATTGATAGGGAGATGTTGCCAATGTGCGACTGTATATAGCTTGTTGGGACAGTATTGAGAGCGTTTATTGGGAGCAGATCTAAACTATATTGATTGAGACTGTTCAACCATATCAACCCACTTGGGTGATTTCAATCAAACAGTGTTCTTCTTCGTCTTGTATTGTTGATTATTGAAATGCTGATAAGACACTTGATAGAAGTCAGAACTCTGCTGTATTGACATACAGAATCTGAACATCATATGTTTGAGAAAATTCCAATTAATTAAAATTGTAGTATAGTTGTTGGCAGTTAGTACCTTCGCCCTGAAGACAGAGTGAGACCGGCCTCGTCGCATGGATTTCTGACCTTCTGGTATACGAGATTCAACCAGACAAACAAAGGATTGCCACTGACCCCTTTGCAGCGAGTCTCCGACAAACATCAACCTCTTTCCTCTCAGTTTCTCGAGCACAACCTCGGGGTTGAACCTGAAAAGCCAACTTCACCATGAGTTTTATATGTATAGATTTCTATTTTCTAACTGAACCAATTACATGCAATTTTTGTCATTTATCTTTGAGTAGTAGAGTAATATCTTAACCTGGGCAGATTGCATTCGTCCGGCTGCCATTCCCAGTAACGATAATCAGAATCCAGTCTTCCATTTTTGACACAGGAAACTTGCTTGTCTAGATATGGGCAGGTCCTGTCCGAGTACAAAGGCTTGGCCGAACGGTTGAACACCCACTTCCCTTTAAAAACACTGCACTTGTTGGGATCGAACTCCTCCTTTTCACCCACGACGTCGAGATCATCATCAGTGTTGTCTTCTATAACTGGAAGAGCCCTTTTCTCCACTGATCAAGAAAGGTTTGATACTTTTATATACTACACGCTGAGTATCGAAGATATATGGAAATTAAGCTGCAGGTAGATTGGACGATTATATATACGTACTGAGATCACTTACCATTACGTGACTGATCATGATGAGAAGTGGCAACTGGTTCCTGCTTGGTGCAAGATTTGAGTTTGATAACAGAAGAGTAGTAAGAGAGGGAGCCGGCATCTTCAGTGTACAAGACGGCGATGAAAGCGAAGACGCAGATTACAGTGGCGATGATCGAGAGAGGAAGCTTCCCTCGTGAAGGCTTCATCATCATGTCGATACAGATGGAGGGAAGGAGAAGAGGGAGGTGGTTGAAACAAGTGTGGAATATAGAATATAGAGCAAAGAGAAAAAGATGGTGTGGTAGTGGCGAGTGGTGCAAACAGAATGATGAGGGGGAGAACGAGGCAGGGTGTGTGTTAATTTATGGGTTTTGAGTAGAAGTGAAGTTAAAGCCAGGTCTCAAGTTGAGCGTCTCTGTAGTCTGTACCTTTACAAAAAGTCCTGTCTAGGAAGGTAGAAAGGTGACATCTGGGCCTCTACAAGTCTATATTCATCTTTATTATACAAATCTGGACAGTTGAATGATGATCCAACCACTGAGACATTGCTATCATACTAACTTGAGCTGGCCATGGTTAGAAGGTCCAACTACTGAATCCCTCTCTCTCTCTCTCTCTCTCTCTCAAACACTCACCTTAATTGGTTCGAACATCCATTGTTTGGGTACCCTGATAGATGATTGATTACCTTAACGACAGATTAGATCATTCAGATACGTACGGGTGTCAACGGACCAGTTTTGGATTGAACCCATCCAAATCAAAATCAATTTAGACCAATTGAACGGATCAAAAAGACATATTGAATTGGATCGGTAATGGTCCAAATATTTATTGGATCGGATTGGGCCTAATCCATTCATAATAGATTGATATTGAATTGGGTCGGATTAAACAAATATCGGGTACATTGAAATACAGGTATGTTTAAGTTGGAACATAAATTAAAACCAATTTGAACTGATTGAACGGTCCAAACATTAAATTGAATCAACCCACAATGGTCCAAATAGTCATCGGATTAAATTGGTCCTAATCCGTCAGTAATGGCCCGAATTGGATTGGACTAAATCTGGTACAATTGACACCTTTAGTTTTTTTTTTTTTAATCACTTCGCGACGTGCTCCATCAAATGTCTGAAAGAATCCTGAACTTCATCATCAAATTATGAAAGCGTGGGAACATCAAACATTGCGACCCCACCAATGGATGCTTTCCAAGCCAAGAGATGTCCCAAGTCAAAACAAAAGCTGATTAAATATTGAATGACAACCGTCTGATTTTACGACCTGGCCAGACTTCATATTTAATTATTGAATAAAAATAATGGTCCATCTTTTCCATTAGAGCGTGACCTTCTTACTCTACTGTCATCATATCCACCAACAGTAGCAATCTCTTGGGCTCTACAACAACTATACTCGTAACAGTGGGTCAATCACGACATACCACATCTGCTTTGTACACGTGGTTCCTATCAAGGTTGGAAGCCGAATCTAACCTTTGATGTCTGCTCTAATCTTTGTTGGGGACGAGTTGACATCTGCTGTGAGCCCGCGACCGTACCGAGTCTCCCGCTTACTGTGACGAGCTTCAATGACTCTAGACCTTATTTGCATATTTTCCTTTTTTCTTTTTCTCCCTGTCTCCCTATCTAATCTTGGGCATTGCTGACATATGAGTTCTAAGTATTTAAATTTTAAAAGCTTTTAAAATTTATGTTTTGTTTCAATTATTTATTAATTTTATTTATCAAAAATCCTACTTATGATATAGTATGTCTATGTATTTTGATTGATTCCTCATCTGTTACCTTTCTTTAACTATATAAATCAATAAAAAATTATAAGATATGAGAATTAATAAAAACTCTTAAAAACTCTTAAAGTTTCTTAGCATTCAAACCTTCCATTACTTCATCTACCTCCATGACTCTCCTAGGCCACCTTATAGAAGTGATATTCTTGAARACTAGGGATGGCAACAAGCAGCTTTGCGGTGGGGATTATATTTCACGTCTCTAACTCCCAACCTTGAAATAAATCCTTACCTGACCTTTGTAACATTGTTATTTGCTACATTAAAAAATACAATGGTTTCTTAATAAGAAATTTGCAATTATAAGTACTCAAATCTTGAAACTCATATAAAGACTTAAAAGAAATCATCATATGCTTAGTTTTTAAATATTGCTTCAGCAAAGCATCTCAAATAAAAGAACACGATCATATAGTGATAGTTCTGAGTTCTACTTCATAGTTGTCCTTTATTTCACATTGAGAACTCCTAGTTGACCTGGATGAGAGGACTGTTCAGCCTGGGAACCGTCTAGGCAATCGGTTCCATTTTACCCCAAACCTAATCCCTGGCCAAAAACCGTTGAATCGATCAATGACCCATTGACCCAGGCGGTCGAACCGTCGATCCGTTCAACGGTTTTTTGTCATTTTTATTTTTAATTATTATTTTTTTTAATTTTTGTTGTCATAACGGGTTGTCCGGTTCGAACCGTCAACCTAGAAACCGGTGGCCATAACGGTTTTGTTTCTGGGTCATTTTTTCTGGATGTCAATAATTAGACGAAATAACTTTTTAGTCATAGTCATGGGAAGGGTGGACATTGCAAGAGATTCCAAAATCTTAAAAGATAAATCCAAAGTGACCTTAAAGACAGAACAAATTGGCGGTAAATCCACCAAACTGGAAAACCCAAGGAAAAAAAATCAGAAAATCGAGTCCAAATTTCCACTTTGAGACGGAGCTAAACACATATGCAATTAAAGAAAGAGATAGACAAGATCGCCTTGTAAGAAAAAAAAACATTGCACAAGAAAACCCAAAGAAAAACAAAAGAAATAAAATAAAATGGTGGTAAACCCTAGACCGTTTTGGAGGATCTTGAAGAAGAAGACCAAATAAAAAAAACAAAAGTAGAAAATGAAAAAAAGGAATATACCTTCGTCAAACCGCACACGCTCGAATAAAGCCCACAACAAAAGAAACCTTTGAATAGCGAAAATTCAAAAGCATAAAAAACCATGATTTTCGAACCGTTCGTCCAGGCAACCGATTCCATTTTACCCCAATCCCGGTCCCTAGCCAAAAAATGTTGAATCGGTCAATGACCCATTGACCCGGGTGGTCGAACCATCAACCCATCAACCCGTTCAACAGTTTTTGGCCGTTTTTTATTTTTTTAATTTTTGTTGTCAAAACGGGTTGTTCGTTCGAACCAAATGGTCGAATCGTCGACCCAGAAACTGGTGGCTAGAATGGTTCCATTTTCGAGTCATTTTTTAAAACCATGTAAAAAACCCTAAAAAAGTAGAAAAAAGAGAGAAGAATAAAAAGATGGGGGCGAGACAGAAGCTTTGCCAAAACAGAGATGGAGAGAGAGAGAGAGAGAGAGAGAGAGAGGCTACTGTGTAAAACTTGAGTCGCACGAGTGGATAGGATAATGTGTGCAATATGACCTCATAGATTCGAATGTGCACTTTATGGTTCGTACGTGAGGATTCTATTTACCGGACACTCTGGACATCCACGAATCACCATTTTCTATTAATAGATATACATAAGATAAGATATAAGATGCTATTTCATTCAATAAATAATCATAATTTACCTAAAAAGTTATATTTAAAACTGATTTTAATAATCATTTTTTGATCAATTTATTGATTTTGGCCAAGTAAACACTAAAATAGTCAACGATATACAATACAATACTGGCGAAAGGGGAGACCACCCCTTTCCTTTTAATATATATAGATAAGATTTATTCTCCATCACTAATCCCCATTGGAGATGGATTTCCTACATAGACCCAAATTCTTGAAATTTTTTATTAACATTATTTTTGGAAAATAAATTTATTTTAAAATATAAAATATATTTTAAATATAATTATATATTTAATACACACAATTGGGGTCGAGGCAGGCATCCCTATTAATCCACATCCCGCTAAGACAATCTCCATCCCCGACCAATGGGTCGGGTACCCAACTGGGAAGGGGAACGGATTGCCTGCGGATTCAGATACGTACGTGACAAGGTCATATCTCAAGTCATCATGTTCTATTTCGTTTCAAATTGTACGTACAATCGCTTTTAATAGTGGATGATTAGTCCATTCTCCTTGTATTTGTCAAAACTTTTGAATGTTCAATGAAGTGGGTTTAACATAGAAAAAGTGATTATACGTAGAATATAATAGGAGCCAAAGTTATGAAAGGGAGAAAGTTGGTCATGACCATGAAGGTGGTGTTTGGTGGTGTGGATTGGAAATAATATATTTAATTTCACTTCACACCACTTCTATGCCATGCGTTCGGTTGGTTGTAATGTTGATTGATCCATACTATCTCGTGGATTGATCCACACCATAACCCATTTTCTCATCCACGGGTTTATCTCGTGGAAGCATCTACATCACACCATTTTGCATATGGAATAACGATCCCATACTTTACATGGATGTTTAACCCTAGTATAAGACATCTTTTCTTTTTACCGTTGCAACCCTTCTTTGTGAGCTCGTTGTTGTTATTCTTCTTTATTTGAACTATGGTTGTAATCAGATTGGACTCAGATCGGATGCAACAAAGCCCACATTCAATCCGATTATTGATAACCTACATCTGAATCCAATTGGCTTGGATTCGAATTCAAATCCTAACGGACTCGGATTGGATTCGGATTTAATTCGACTCTGCTAAAAATTTTCTAAAATACCATAAAAATAAAATTTATTTATTTTTCAACTTTTATATATAATAAATTAATAAATATAACATATTAAATTATTATATATAAATTCATATATAATATAATATATAGAATATATTTTTATAATTTTAAATATAATTATATAAAATTTATATATTATAATTAATAAATATTATAATAATTGGTTTCATATTTTAATTGGATCGATTGGGGTCAAAACTGAATCCAATCTGATTGTTAATCGGATGTAGATTGTAACATCTGAATCCGATCCGATTACATAAATACATCATTTGAATCTGAGATGATCGGATTGGATGTTAGATCAGGCCTTGGATTTTCAAGTATTACTGATAAACATAGTTTGAACCACCCGCCACTCCTCCTCCGACTACTATTGCATCGGAGCGTCAATGGTAACTAGTAAGTATTCATCATTTGTTTATTCTCATGCTATATTATTCTTCTCTTTTTGAACCACTTGCCACTGCTACTCATGTTTATTAATTAATATTAATATTATTTTATTAATTATTAAGCTTTAAATATTATTAAAATTATTGTTAATACTATCAATTATCATTAAT